CTTTTCCAAGGAAGGCAGGGAGACCCAGCAGGTGACGACCTCAGGATGTTTTTGTCCCAGTGGGGATCCTTGCTGGGCTGCTGTCTCACACCCAAACTGGAAAGACGGCTGCCAGTTGTGTAAGAAACTCCCCAGAGAACAGACTGAGGAACTGTGATCAATTCTATTTGATTTAGAAAATGATGGTCCGAATGCAGATTGGCACCAAGGGGCCTGTCTTATGACTAATTTCCATCACTGAAAAGAGGGCCCAATTTTTAAGAGGAGACAATCCTGGGAGGTAGGCAGGGAACAGCCGGACCGAACACTGAGAGCAAAGCTTGATAGGCAAGGTAGAGCCATTTGATTGAGGAAGGGATTTTGGCCTTGACTCAAAAATAGGCTAACCAGATGCCTGGGTGTGCCTGGGACGGTCATGGTTTATGCCTGTCACCCAAGCTTAATTTTTAATGGTGCCCCCTTTCACTCTCAAAAAACAAAGAAGTCCAGGTTTCTGGACTTCTGTCATCTCCCTATTTCAAAGTATAGAGAAACTTAGGGCTGGAAACTTATCCAGGGAGGGACACGTAGGACATGGGGCTCTGAGAAGGTTCATTTGGCTGAGCCCGAAGGAGAGAGACAAGCAGTTGGAAGACCAGGCTGATTCATTCTCAAGCATGTTTAGAATCGCAGGCTTGTTGGCAATGTCCAGGCACAGATTCACAGAGTGTAGATGCTGGATGGGTCTCCGGAGTAATCTAATCCTCTTCCTCCTTTGCCAGAAGAGGACACTGGCCTAAAAGAGGTCAAAGTGACCTGCCTAAGGTCACACGCTGGATCCTGGCAGAGTGGAGATCAGACTTGCCCCCAGTGGACCAAGCCCAGGTGCTCTGTTCTGGAACAGAGGAAAGGGGTGACTCTGAAAGATGCTGCCAGGGGAACAGATGCACTGGCTCTGGAGTGGCAGTCCCAGGACAGAGTCATGGACTGTCCCATGGCTCTGAGGCTGAGGAGGGAGGACAGAGACCGTAGACAGGTGGGGTTCAGACCTGCTGAGTGAGCTTGGATGTGGAGCTGGAGCTTGGGTGAGATCTAGAGCCACAATGGAACGAGGGCAGAGCAGAGGCATAAACGGGCTCTCCAGGGTAGTGACAGCAAGGACCGAAGAGATTAATTGGCAAGTAGAACTAAGAACGAGTGAAGGAATAGGTAAGTATGGGGATGGAAAGTGAATGGGGTCATAAGTCATTTATGGAATCTAAATCTTTTCTGTGGTTCAAGTCGTAGTGAAATCTCCCTGAGAGGCAAACCCTAATGACAGCTGTCCTACCTCTTGGCATCTTTTCCCAGCCCCTTAGCAGGGCCACAGTGGTGGGAAAATCCTAAGTAATCAACAGCCTCGACCTCTGCTTGGTATTTGGGGAAACTGAGTCACAGAGAAGCCAGCTCCCTCCTGCCTTATGGTAGTCTCAGCAAATAGGGTGTGATTCGCAGCAAGCCACGAGCGTGATTCCACACGCCAGCCAGAGCAGTGCACCTGAGGCTTCGTCAGTCTTACCTCCCGTGCGGCTCTGGCCGAGGTGGCGGATTTTCTGTGAATCTGATCATCTGGGAGGAGTCCAGGAAGAAGCCCAGCCTGAGGCTCCAGGGGCTTTGTGGTCACAGTTCTACTGCCCGACAACTAGCGGTGCCGTGGCAGAGGGCCACATCTCCTCCCTGTCCTACTCTTCCTGGTTGTCACATGAAGGCTCTGGCCTCTGCCATCTCCAAAACCTCACACCCTGGCTTTGTTTTTCCAGGGATGTCGGACGTTGGCTCGACTGCTGTGTGTTCATCTTTTGCATCTTCCCTGCAGTCTGTGTCTAGAGCACCCTCACAGCTCATGAAATATCTGTCCTTAAGTCTCAATTATCTGGGACAGTATAGGGATGCAATGGTATGCATGCAAAATATTGTTTTTTAAAACATCATATTCAACACCAATCTGCGTTTCTTTTTTTTTTTTGCCTGCAACAACTGTTCACTCAACAAGGTGGAGTTAAATATTTAAGTTGGCTGCAGAGAATCTAGGAAGTGAATAGCTCACTCGAGTAAACATAAACTTGACCACAGGCTGACTGTAGTCAGAACGATCTACTGTCACCCTGAGCAAGTTCTCCCACAGAACAATCTACAAAAATCCTGCACACCACTGTCACGCCCACATGATGCTCTCTGATATGTGACATTAAAAAACCTCAATCTCCTGAGAAAAAATCATAAAATAGTTTCAGTATATATGAACTGAGCACACGTTTTTGTTGAGTGAAACTTCTTTGATGATGCCAGTTCAAATATCTGCAGATATTGAGAAAACACCCACAGACATCACCCTCGGTTGCAATAGTCGCACAGTCTGCAGAGACCATCAGGGAAGATGTAAAATACTGAATGTCACTGGACATCATTCCAGGACACCTTGGGCTATCTGAACCCTCTCCCACTCCCAACTGTTAGTTTCTCCTTTTTCTTTTCTATTTTAATTTATTTTTGGGTGCACTGGGTCTTCATTGCTGCACGCGGGCTTTCTCTAGTTGCGGTGAACAGGGGCTACTCTTTGTTGCAGTGCATGGGCTTCTCATTAGAGTGGCTTCTCTTGTTGCAGAGCGTGGGCTCTAGGTGTGCGGGTTTCAGTAGTTGTGGCACATGGACTCCGTAGTTGTGTCTCGCGGGCTGTAGAGCGCAGGCTCCGTAGTTGTGGCGCACGGACTTAGTTGCTCCGCGGCATGTGGGATCTTCCCGGCCCAGGGCTCAAACCCATGTCCCCTGCGTTGGCAGGCAGATTCTTAACCACTGTGCCACCAGGGAAGCCTCTTCTTTTTGAAAATTAATATTTATTGGAGTATAGTTGAATTATAATGTTGTGTTAGTTTCAGGTGTACAACAAAGTGAATCAGTTATACCTATACACATATCCAGTCTTTTTTTAGATTCCTTTCCCATATAGGTCATTACAGAGTATTCAACTGTTAGTTTCTAACCAAATGTTCCCAAGAAGCCAGCCTGGGGCAACGTGTGCATGGCAGGGGGGTGAGAAAGTAAGAGAAGGAAGAGGCTTTGGGTGGCATCTCTTTCTACCCTCTCCCTATGGATGTGAAGAGAGTGGCTGTGGTATCTGCAGTCGTGGAGGCCACAGGGACAGCTAGGAGCAGGCCTGGAGGTCTGCTCTCCTGGCGCCAGGCTCTGTGCTCTGCCCTCTCTACCCCAGGCTGCCTCTGAGATGCCCAGGTAATCTCCATGCAGGGCTCACCAGCAGGACCAAGCAACACATAGGAGTTGGTTCAGCGCACAGAGGCATGGAGAAGGGAACAGGGCGGAGAGATGAACAGGAGGAGAGAAGCAAAAAGGACGAGACGGCAGGAGAAAACGCTGGACGGAATAGGAAGAAAGGGCCAAAGGCACTGTGTCCGCATCATCTTGACTAGCGACTGGAGGAAAGAGGTGAGTGTCTGGGGGCCAAGAGCTACTCCAAGATCACAGTGCCACTGCCCATACCTGGAAGGAAGGGAAGGTCCTGGGGGAATGGCCCTCAGGGTGGGGAACTGAGAGCTTAGGGTGGACAACCTCAAAGTACCAAGTACCAAGTAAAGTTTCTGTGCCTGAATGGGTGCCATTCAAAGTCAGTGTATTGGAAGACCCGGGACCCTGGTGGACCACGTTTCCCGGGCAAACCCAATGTTTGGTATCAGCACTTCTGTATTATAAAATCAACATCACTGAAAGCTTTAAAAAAAGACAGACTGAAAATATCACATCTTAGGCAAATGAGTTGAAAATCCCTTCTAGTGACGCCCTATATTTTCCACCCATTTCTAAAGTCAGAGAACACCTGGTATGGTATTTAGGTAAAGAAATGCAATTCCTGGTACACGCGGTTTCCTGACAGTACAGAACTGAACTGACGTCACGGAAATGCAGATGCCTCTAGGTCAGTCTGAGGACAGTTTCTAGGTGAAAACATGAGTCTCATCCATTGGTGGAAAAGCGTGTCTGTACTTTTATGATCTGCTGGTACCTACTGCTTTCTGCCTTCAAAGACTAAGTTTTAATTAAATGCAGGCAGGCTGCTGGACAGGCTTTTCCACACTTTTGGCTCACCTAGATGTACAACCGAAATGTAGGTTAGACCGCACCTGTGCTCCTTTGTCATTTGGAAGGAAAGAAAACGATGGTCACCAGGAATAAAAGAAGTTTGTCTCCCACTCAAGGGCGAGGAAGCTACGACATAAGATGCCCCTTCCCGGGGTTCATATGAACAGACTCATTTGTGAAGCTCTCCCCACGGTGACGAAAGATGTGGCAGACACAGAACGTATGGGATCCTTTGTCTTAATTAAAAAGTATGGTGAGAGTCATAGAATTTGGCCAAGCCTCATAAATCTGCTCAAAGAATGAAGGCTCTGTCAGATAAGCTTAAATAGAACCAACTGAGCCCTCTGGAGAATTGAACAGATTCCCCGCTAGTGGTTGACACCCACTTTCCTGTCACTTTGCTGCACTCCGAGGACCGTGGCTGTGCTCATTAACCAGCAGCCCTCCTACCCACCGATGGCAAGTTTATCCCCAAGGAGCACAAAATTCAGGGATGATAAATTTACTCCGGCTCGTAAAAGTGAACCCCTCCTCAGGGCAATAAAAATGCTGTGAGCCTTTAAGGCAATCAGCGCTTTGTGTGATAACGTACCTTCTTCTTTTTTTTTTTTTTTATCTGAAGTTAATATTTATTTATTTATTTTACATCTTTATTTGAGTATAATTGCTTCACAATGTTGTGTTTCTGCTTTATAACAAAGTGAATCAGTTATACATACACATATGTTCCCATATCTCCTCCCTCTTGCGTCTCCCTATCCCACCCCTCCAGGTGGTCACAAAGCACCGAGCTGATCTCCCTGACAAAGCGAGAGAGAGGCATGGACATACATACACTACCAAACGTAAGGTAGAGAGCTGGTGGGAAGCAGCCGCGTAGCACAACGTACCTTCTTTAACAAAGCCTGGTCCTCTTTTCAGGACAGCTCCTCACGGGCAGGGAGAACTGCTCTAAAGTAACTGGAAAGGAAGAAAGAGAAAGTGAATGGCATCCCTCTGGACCCTTTGGACCCTGTGTGGAGGAGGACATTGTGGTGATAACAGATAGAGGTGGGGTGCTACAGTCTTTCCTTGGTGATACGTTCAAGGTGGACAGAGCCCGCCCCGGGGAGGTGGGAGCAGGGCCAGCGCAGTCACCTCACCCTTGTCAGCCGGGACGATTACATCAGAGTAAACGGCCGCGGCCATCAGCAAAGCTCCATCCTAAAATGGTACAAATGAGCTTATTTATGAAACAGAGATATAGCCACAGATGTATTACAGAAAACAAATTTATGGTTACCGGGGATGGGGGGGGGAAGGGGGGAGGGGGAGGGATACATTGGGAGATTGGGATGGACATATACACACTGCTGTATATAAAATAGATAACTAATAAGAACCTACGGTGTAGCACAGGGAACTCTTCTCAATACTCTGTAATGACCTATATGGGAAGAGATTCTAAAAAAGAGTGGATATATGTATATGTATAACTGATTCACTTTGCTGTACACCTGAAACTAGCACAACATTGTAAACCATCTATACGCCAACAAAAAATAAATTAATAAAATTTAAAAAATAAAAAATACACCGCCAGGAGGTCCTGGGTTCAGCCACCATATAGCCTGTCCTCTCCCCCATGACCACACTGCCTGTTCATTTCCTGTGACCACCATCTAGAGGACTCCGCCTGCCTCTGTAAATTTGGCGGTGTTACATCTTCTCTCTCAAGTCTCCATCGTGATTCCCACGGTGTTAAGTCTTCTCTGGGTATGAATGATGAGGGCCCAGTGTCGACTCAAGCAAACCCAACAAGTCCCCCAAATATTTCAAGTCGCGTGTCCCCTACCATCTTTCTCCAACAGGACGGAGACAAACAAAGAAGGTCTGCAAAAAAGATTAATGATCCATTTTAATTGGCCATGAAAGCTCTAGTAATATTAACTGAGACAATTTACACGAATTATACTCCCCTTCTCTATGCTGGTGGCCCAGCTCTCACTCAAGGCCCATTCGCGTGAGCACCCTTTTCAGTGTAAATAAGCACAAAACCACAACTGCATCCCATGCGTGCTGCTTTGACTGTATTGTTTCATTCTCGAAAATGCCCCCATGATTCCCTGCCACCCTCAGATTTAAATCCACTTCTTTCGACAGGCATTAAGTCTTTAACTGAGTGACCCCGTGTAGATGAGCCTCTTATTTCCAGACTCAAAGTTGCATTCACTCTTTACACGTCGTCACCCTTCACTGCTGTCTGCTGGGCAGTCTCACCTCCTGCCTTTGAGGGCAGCATAGCTCAACCACCCATCCAACGACTCAAAGCCACTGGCCATCCCCTGGGTCCAGCCCATCTTCCACAATGGAATATTACTCAGCCATAAAAAGAGTGAAATAATGCCATTTGCAGCAACATGCATGGACCTGGAGATGATCATACTAAGTGAAGTAAGTCAGACACAGAAAGAGAGATATCATATGATATCGCTTATCTGAAGAATCTTAAAAAAAAAATGATACAAATGAACTTATTTGCAAAACAGAAGTAGACTCACAGACTTAAGAGAATGAACTTATGGTTACCGGGGGAAAGGTGGCGGGGGAAGGATAGACTGGGAGTTTGGGATTGACATGTACACACCGCTGTACTTAAAATAGATAACCAACAAGGAGCTACTGTAAAAAATAAAAAATAACCTCCCCCCCGCCCCCGCCAAAAACAAAATCCACACTCGATGTTCTTTAGATAATCTTTTAGAAGGTGGCTATTTTATTTGGTAGAGGTTTCTGCTGTGACACGGCATCTTCCTCAGCACAGGCCGTGGACATCTAGACACTTTCTCCCGGCCTCCCCGGAGGGCTGCTAGATTCTCACCCTCCCCTCTCCCCTCCCTGGGGTGGCCCCGCATCCATGCGTCCAGCTGCCTGCGTGCTGGACTCCACTGTGACACCTTTACTTGTTCACGAGACATGGCACCCAGGAGAGCAGCTGCTCCCTGAAATTCTGTATTGACACATCTAAGCCAAACCAGTTGAGCTCCACGCCTAGGCATCCCTTTCGTGAATTTTCCCATTTCAGTGGGAGGGACTGTCATCCACCAGCCTCCAGGCCCAAATCTTTGATTTTCCCTCCTGTCGCCATGTCTGCGGACTCTCCTTGCCCCTCAAAGGCACCCCTTCCGCATGGCACAGCTGCCGCTCTGAAACCTGCAGAACCTTCTAACTTGCTCCCCAACCCTGAGGCCCAGCCCTCCTCTCCTGCCACCATAGGAAGCCTGACACTGCCCTCTGGCTTCTCGTCTCCTCCACCATCTTAGCCCCTCTGCCCTGGACAAGACGTCCTCTCCAACGGTTCCTCACCATCTTCAAACCACGGCTTGGTCCTCGGCCCACGTGACCCACTCCCTCTCTCCTCCCAGTCTGCTCAGAGAACACCTTCTGCCGGGCCCAGTGGATGGAGGGGTCAGCTGCACAGGCCTGGAGTCAGATGGACCTGACTTTACATCCTCAACGGCGCTGCCGCCACCAGCCTCCTCGGACAACAGATGAGTCACACACTGACTGAGCCTCAGTTTCCTCACCAGCCACATGTGGAGAGGGTGCCGGCCTCCTGGCGTCAGTGTGAGGACTAATGCAGAGGCTGGATGTCAGTGCCCAGTGCCGGGGGGTGCGGCACCCAATTCTCTGCACCTCTAAGGAGTTTTGTCTAATTTTTCCCTATCACACTGATTTATTCCCGTTTGATGCATTGGCGTGACATGTTACACGCTGGGTTCTTCTTTTTGAGTCTTGCTTTGGTTTTTAGGTGCACTTGCTGCCATATCTCAGGAGGGAAGCTCCGGGCTCCAGAAGACAGCCTGGGTCTCAGCCTGCTTGTTCTATGCCCGTCCTGCCCAACAGGCCTCAAGTCATGACCCAGTTTTTGGAACTGGACTGGAGTGCACTTGTGCGAACACAGGACCCCATGGGTGGAGCTTCCCCTTAACCGGCCCGCTGCGTTTCATGAATCGATCACCTCTCACTCCTTTGACACAAACGATAAAAGCCAACCTTGACAACTGCAGGTCAAACAGAAGCAGGGCTCACCAATTCCTTGGTTGTTTCCCCTCGCCTCAGAGCCAGGGTGACAGATGCTCTCGTGCCCAGAGTGGGTTTCTCCCCCACCTCCCCCTGCTCCGATTTCTACCAAGTCCTGAAAGAGGAAGGAAGGGCAGAGATGCGGCTCGCAGCTCTTGGGGCCCAGGCCTGGGGCCCACTGGCAACCCCAGGGGAGCAGTATCACACGGGTGACACTTCACCCTCCTCTCTCTCCTCCTGCCTCAACTTTTAAATAGGAAAATAACCCTCAAAATGAAAGCAGTTGTGGTATCTCCTTTCCTTTCCCTTTGTTGCTGATTCAAGGAGCTGCCTGCCTAATGAGAAAAGAAAGGATGCTGCAGCCAGGCCAGAGCCCACAGAACGCGGGTCGCACTGGGGTGCGCTCTTCCTTAAGAGACTCGGGAGGGAATCATCTTCTTGATTCCACGTTTCAATTGTTGTGACTGCTCTTAAGTGTCCCAGTGCCATTTATTTCCCTAGGGGCTGCAGGGGCTGCCACCTGTCTGAGTATAGTCAAGCCCTCCTTGGTTCAGCCTGTCCACGCTGTGTGACAAAAAGATCAGCCTGACAATAGAGGAAGAACAATAGATTTTTAGGTAACGTAACTTGTTAGCTTTGAGGTTGTTAGCTTTGAGGTTGGGGAGGGAGGTGAGAGGGATGCATAGAAAAAATGACCCGACTGAAGTGAAAAACAAAACAAAAAAACGTGGTAGTTTGGGAGAAAAAAAATTATAGGCCAGCATGAAATACATATGCCTCCCCTTCGATGAGCTGGTGGATAAATTATGTACAACAGCCAAACCCCTGCAGCCGTTTCTGAAAGGCAGACGGGATTCTGCAACACGAGGGATACCCTAAAACTCAAAGAAATGCTTGTGCCTAGGATGCTATCATGACGACGTGTTGACACAAATAATGGGGGAAAGTAAGATGAACCAAATGCACAATGCCATCGTCCTTTTTGAAATATGGCTGGTGAGACTGGGCACAATCGTTAAGTTCGCAGGCACAGCTGGCCTGGACATATTACAGAACGGGTTGTATTTCTCAGGAATCCTGTCTCAGAATATTCTTTCAGCTTTTCTCTCAATCCCTGTGACAGGGCTCTGGGAACCAGGGGGCCTGCCCCAGTTGTCAAGCTTTAGACAGCCCTTCTCTGGCATTCCTCTGCCCACAGCCTCCCGCACGGGGCAATGGGGGGCGCCCGCCTGGAGCCCGCATCGCACTTCTCCAGCCCAAGTAGCTTGAGCTTCTCTCCTGGGAATGCTCTTCTCCTGGCGTGTGCACCCTGGACCCATGGGGTGACCAAGGGGAAGCTGTTGGGAGGCGTGTAGACAGACCTTGGGTGTCTAGGCTGGAGGATGTACACAGTGTGGAATGCAGCTGTGGATGGGAAAGAGGGAGGTGGGGAAAGGCAGATGCTTTTCCCCAGGCTGCAGAGTTCACAAAACTTCCAGGAGTCTGAGCATTCTAGATTCCCACCTGGCTTTCTGGATGAATAAAGCTACGTGTGCCATGGCGGGAGGACAGAGTATATTTTCTTCACTGCTTTGTAATCTTGTCTGGTACCCTCACTGTGGGTCCCACACACAGTGCAGGCTCGGGCTAGAGAATAAGGACCCGGTGAGAAAATACAGGCTCACCCAAGCCTCTTCAAAGCCAGGCCCCCCATCCATCCCTGGAAAGAGGAAACTCAGTCCCAGCTGAGTCTCCAGAATGGCAGGAAAATGTGGCTCTCACCTCACGTACCTACAGTGAAGATGAGGAGGCCAGCCTCCATGTTGGGGCAGCAGAAATGGAGAGGCTGACACCTGCCCCTAAACAGAAGGTTCTACTGGAGGAGTGCGAGCTGAGCATGTGCACACTGGGCACACCAG